GCAAATTTGAGCCCATCCTGGGGCTCAAGTTAGCAATTTATCTAGACCCTGTCTCAAAATCAAAAGTAAGGGCCAGGGATTCAGCTTAGTGACAGAATGTCTGCCTGGCAAGCATGCAGTTGTGAGTTCGATTCCTGGTACTGAAAAAACAAAAAATAAATAAAAAATTAAAAAAGGGTTCAGTGTGAAAGGCCTTAGTTGTTTGATCCCCCAGCACTACAAAGGAGAAACAAACAAACAAACAATGCTTCATTTTGGAAATTATATAACCCCGACCTGACAGCTCTGGCACACTATTATGGGTAATGCATTTCTTAGCACTTACTGTAAGTACGGCACTGAACTGACCTTTTACGGTGAATGATTTTTTTAACTCTCAAAACCAAGGGAGACGGGAGGTGCTACACGCCCACTACACAGGACAAAAGGGAGCAGAGAGCCTCAGAAGATTTGCCAAGGTCACACAGACTAAGTCAGGGCCAGGAGCAGAACCCAGGTCCGCTGTCTCCAGAAACATCTGGGTAGAATTCCAGGTTCTGTCTCTCAAGTTACAGCTGTCTCCTCATCCTATAAGCTGCTGTTCTTTTCTTTCCATTCTCTAGCCTCCTTTTCTTTCCTCCCCAGCCCCTTCCTTCTTCCTGTCCTCCCTTCCTCCCTTCTTTCATTCTTTAACAAATGTTCCTTGTGCACTTGCTGCCTTCTAAACACCGCTTAAATTGGAGCTGAAGGAGCTGACACGGTGGCCTAGCTCCCCAGCTTACGTCCGGATCCCTGTAACTCTTCTTCCCGACAACACCCCTCCTCACCCACATTTCTTTAGGCACTTTCACTCACTTGTTCCTTTGTCCCCAACAAAGGTAGTGACCAGGGCCAACGTGGCAGAACTCCAGCAGTGCTCCCAGCCCGCACAGGCTAGAATCCCGCTGTTTCAACTGATTTCCGGAGCTGCCCCTCTGGGTTCCCTTGGTGTCTGGCTCAGGTTTCCATTAAGGCCCTCATTATGCAGTAGTAAAACATCACTTACACAGCACATCCCTCTCCTCCTGCTCTTCCCCAAGCTCTCCTCTACTCAGCTCAGGGTTTAAATCTCTAGCCACGGGGCAG